AAAAAAAATAACTTAAAAACAAACAATAATATTAAGGTCTGGTTTTTTATTTTGGTTTTTCATAAGCTTAGGTACTAAAAAAAACGCGTATCACCGACTCTTTCTGGCAGGAACTATGGACATGTTTTCTACAGTTGCTACGCCCGAACCGTTTAAAGTAATTATTATTAAAAAGGCCTGAAAGGTAAAATATAATCTAAACTGTTTCACATGCGCACCTAATCATCATCTTCTTCGGTTTCAAGTTCCATATCCCTGAACTCAAGTGGATCGTCTTCAATATTTTCAAACTGATTATCAGCGCTCCTTAAGGGACTGTCGAGCAATTCTAATAATTCTTTTGGAAGAAGCAATCTGTTTTGTTGTTTGATACGGTTGGCTACGTTAACCGATGATTTTATAGGGTCTGATGTATCCAATGATCTGTGGAATACGGCTTTTAAACTGTTGCTTTGACGGCTTTTTTTCGCATGCTTTTTCTCGGCTTCAAATACAGAACCAGCTATAGAAACTGTGTATCTAGCCAATATTGCGTTCTCTTTCGCACATTTGGTGGCGGCAGATCTCCAAACATCGAACAACTCCATGTTGGGAAGCCTGAGGTTGTGACCTTAAAAAGTGAATTACGCAGAAAGTGCGCAAAAGGGCCCTTTAATATTACATTCATACGAACAAGAATTGAATTACCTCCAACACAGTATATATATTAAGGTCAAACTAGCTCAAAGACCGTTTATATCTCTAACTAAACATTAGTTTTTGTTATTGATTAACACACACAAAAGCTCTGTTAAAAACACTCAATTACAGGGACATTCCCAAACAAACCAACATTTGAGAATCGAAAACATATAGTACAAATCACTCCCTTTCGATGCCATAACAACTTTTTTATAAATTACTAAGTTTAGTGCCTTTTTATTAGCTTTAAATGGACTCTTTTTCCGATAACAAGCACACGTGATCACGACACTCCGAACAGCTGTTTTTGAAATCCGATAACTATTGAAGTCTAATATTATACTAATATGACATAAAATCTTAATTATAAGAACTTTCGAAAAATGGGTTTTTGGCCAGAAAAAGTGGTCATCCGGCCTATAGTGCATCGGTTTCACCACAGACTTGATTTTTATAATAGTTAGAGCATGCCTGAGGGTCTTTAAAATGCAGTTTCTTAGATCTTGGATCAAGTATTGTAGCCATACACTAAATTGAGACTTAAAACACAATATTTGAAATAAAATATTTAAAGGTATAAATTAATAATGACAAGCTAGGGATGTAAGAAAATATCGATGCATCGATAAGCATCGATATGACAAAATATATCGGAAAACATCGCCCAAAAAAATCGATGCTCGATGCATCGATGTTTTTTTACATCACTAACGAATAGTCAGTCTCAGTAGATGGACGCCTGTGGTCAGTTCAAAACACACTGCGCTCTAATGCAGTGGTCGGCAGGGCCTTATTCCAGGGGCATAGTTTTTTTAAGCATTTATTGGGGAAAATAAAAAACAAATGGCTTTAAACGTATCCGTATTAAACGTAACAATATGGCGAAAAAAACATAAAAAAAATATATATTAATATTTTATTAACTAAGCCCACATAACTATAAATTTTTTTTTAATATTCGGTAAGACCCTCGACGTGCTTCGATAACGGCCTGAAGACGCCTTGGCATGGATTCCACCTGATTTCGCAGCTCTTCATGCGTATTTCCTGCCGAGCTGCTTGAAGCTTCTCTTTAAGGACTGGAGCACTCATAATGTAATATTTTCAGACGGAGTTTGCAGGGCAATGTCTGACTTCCGGGTGCTATCAGAATATGCAAGTGTTTCAGCTTTACCTCTTGACATCCGACAAGATCGCCGCCATTAGGCCCATCGAAGTGTCATCCGATGCAAAAAATACCGACCATGGCCAGAAGAGACTTACTTCCCGTTCTCCGGAAAACTGACAAACGTGGCTTACTCGCACGGTAACTGAATGAAATCGTATCGCTCATTTTCATAAAAATTTTGAATTTTTAAGATTGTTTAATGTTATATTTAATTTGGTTAATTGGTCGACATCAGGTCGACCACTTCGAGGCTTATTTTTTACGTTTCCATTATTTTTCCAATTTTTTATTGTTTGAAAGGATAATCTCTTTTTGCGTTCCGGTTCTGTTATGGTTGTAACTCCCAAATACGATCTGGCTTTTCTGTTGAAACAGTGGAGTTTGCGCCGCAATGTCTGACTTCCGGGTGCTATCAGAATATGCAAGTGTTTCAGCTTTACCTCTTGACATCCGACAAGATCGCCGCCATGAGGCCCATGGAAGTGCCATCCGATGCCAAAAATCCGTAGATCGGCCTAATGGGTCGCATTCGCACGCCCTAACCTGAATGACGAAGACGTATCACATACCGACCCATGGCCAGAAGAAACTTACTTCCCCTTCTCCGGAAAACTGACAAACGTGGCTTACTCGCACGGTAACTGAATGAAATCGTATCGCACATTTTCATAAAAATTTTGAATTTTTAAGATTGTTTAATGTTATATTTAATTTGGTTTATTGGTCGACATCTGGTTGACCACTTCGAGGCTTATTTTTTACGTTTCCATTATTTTTCCAATTTTTTATTGTTTGAAAGGATAGTCTCTTTTTGCTTTCCGGTTCTGTTATGGTTGTTACTCCTAAATACGATCTGGCTTTTCTGTTGAAACAGTGGAGTCTGTCTTCCGGGTGCTTTCAGAATATACAAGTGGTTCAGATTTACTCCGTTGGTGACATCCGACAAGTAGAGCTGGCAAAACATCGATAGGGTCACTATCGATGTTTTCGAGGTTTTTTTGGGAACCATCGATACTATCGCGATAATACCGAATTAAAAAAATTTAGTAATATAGAGATTATTCTTTATTGTTCTTTATGATTATACTTTTATTATTCTTTAAACCCAAAACAGCAGGGGTATTCCTTATAAATTCTATTAAAATTTTAATAAATTTAGAATTTTAGTTTTTTGTGTGTTATTTATTTTTCCATTTAACTCACTTCATTTGTCAAAGTTAATAATTTTAAAAGTAAAATAAAAATAAAATGAATATCCCAAAGCATAAAATCGTTGCTTCGTTAGTAGCGGTCCAGCCGCTAGACTTGGGATCTATCTTAGAATTACACATTAGATTCGGTAATCCACCAATTTTTGTTTATGAACAGGAGCTGGTAACTGAATGGAATTGTAAAGCTCGTTAAAATTTTGAATTTTTAATATTTTTTAATGTGTTAGATTTAATTTGGATTATTGGTCGACCACTCCGAGACTTATTTTGTAAGTTTCAATTATTTTTCCAATTTTGTGTTGTTTGAAAGGATAAGCTCTTTGACTTCCGGTTCCCTAAAGGTTGGTTGGTTAATGGGTCGCACTCGCATACCGACCCATGGCCAGAGGAAACTAACTTCCCCTTCTCCGGAAAACTGACAAACGTGGCTTAGTCGCATGGTAACTTAATAGAGGGGTACCGCTCATTTTCATAAAAATTTGAAAATTGAGTTTCTGATATTGTTGAATTTGTTGTGCTTTTCGAGGAGGGCTCTAAATTATCCAATTATTATATTGCTCGCTCGTTTCGGTTTCGCGTCTTTAATAGCCCTTGCGATGCAAGTTCTAGTAGCTTCTGTAATTCGGCTAACTACATCGCCATCTCTCCCTACGCCATACATCCCTACGGTCAGACCATACTCAGCAGCAGAGTATGTCCTTCTCACTCGGCCGATGTGCGTTTATAGGACTGTGAGCGACAACGTGTCTCTTGTCGCTGTATAAACTTGTACAGTAGTCAATAACATACCGTAATCACATTTTGCGATTTTTTTGCCGAAAAACACTGGGTTTAAGGATCAAGGACCAATTCTCGTTGTTCGATAGTTGTGCGTTTTCCCATGATTAATACACGTGCTTTCTTGACGAAATCGAATCAAAAGAATCGAAAGAAAATTTTAGTTGCGAATCCATTGAGCAAAGAGTAACCAAACAAGAAAGGTAGGTTGGATCAACTGACCAAAAATAGAATCTGTACTAAGTTTCAGCTTTCTATCTTCAAAAACACGAAAGCTATAGGATATAGTCGGCCGATCCTTATGAAATTTGGCCCGTCGTGTAAAATTTCAACTCTCTAACTCGAAAAACACCAAAGTTAAAAGAATTGGATTTAGTTGTGGTGCTTGTCAGGTTATCATTACTATTGTTGTCGTTGCCCATCGCACTATAGGCCGGATGACCACTTTTTCTGGCCAAAATTAATAACTTCTAAATGAAACAAAATATTTGGGTTCTGTTTTCTGATTTGGGTTCTTAATAAGCTAAGGAACATATTTTGAGAAAATAGGCGTGGCACCGCCACCTCTGGGCGGAACTAGATTTTATGTCTTCCAAAGTATATAAAAGTAGATAACAAAAAAAATAACTTAAAAACAAACAATAATATTAAGGTCTGGTTTTTTTATTTTGGTTTTTCATAAGCTTAGGTACTAAAAAAAACGCGTATCACCGACTCTTTCTGGCAGGAACTATGGACATGTTTTCTACAGTTGCTACGCCCGAACCGTTTAAAGTAATTATTATTAAAAAGGCCTGAAAGGTAAAATATAATCTAAACTGTTTCACATGCGCACCTAATCATCATCTTCTTCGGTTTCAAGTTCCATATCCCTGAACTCAAGTGGATCGTCTTCAATATTTTCAAACTGATTATCAGCGCTCCTTAAGGGACTGTCGAGCAATTCTAATAATTCTTTTGGAAGAAGCAATCTGTTTTGTTGTTTGATACGGTTGGCTACGTTAACCGATGATTTTATAGGGTCTGATGTATCCAATGATCTGTGGAATACGGCTTTTAAACTGTTGCTTTGACGGCTTTTTTCGCATGCTTTTTCTCGGCTTCAAATACAGAACCAGCTATAGAAACTGTGTATCTAGCCAATATTGCGTTCTCTTTCGCACATTTGGTGGCGGCAGATCTCCAAACATCGAACAACTCCATGTTGGGAAGCCTGAGGTTGTGACCTTAAAAAGTGAATTACGCAGAAAGTGCGCAAAAGGGCCCTTTAATATTACATTCATACGAACAAGAATTGAATTACCTCCAACACAGTATATATATTAAGGTCAAACTAGCTCAAAGACCGTTTATATCTCTAACTAAACATTAGTTTTTGTTATTGATTAACACACACAAAAGCTCTGTTAAAAACACTCAATTACAGGGACATTCCCAAACAAACCAACATTTGAGAATCGAAAACATATAGTACAAATCACTCCCTTTCGATGCCATAACAACTTTTTTATAAATTACTAAGTTTAGTGCCTTTTTTATTAGCTTTAAATGGACTCTTTTTTCCGATAACAAGCACACGTGATCACGACACTCCGAACAGCTGTTTTTGAAATCCGATAACTATTGAAGTCTAATATTATACTAATATGACATAAAATCTTAATTATAAGAACTTTCGAAAAATGGGTTTTTGGCCAGAAAAAGTGGTCATCCGGCCTATAGTGCATCGGTTTCACCACAGACTTGATTTTTATAATAGTTAGAGCATGCCTGAGGGTCTTTAAAATGCAGTTTCTTAGATCTTGGATCAAGTATTGTAGCCATACACTAAATTGAGACTTAAAACACAATATTTGAAATAAAATATTTAAAGGTATAAATTAATAATGACAAGCTAGGGATGTAAGAAAATATCGATGCATCGATAAGCATCGATATGACAAAATATATCGGAAAACATCGCCCAAAAAAATCGATGCTCGATGCATCGATGTTTTTTTACATCACTAACGAATAGTCAGTCTCAGTAGATGGACGCCTGTGGTCAGTCCGAAACACACTGAGCTCTAATGCAGTGGTCGGCAGGGCCTTATTCCAGGGGCATAGTTTTTTTAAGCATTTATTGGGGAAAATAAAAAACAAATGGCTTTAAACGTATCCGTATTAAACGTAACAATATGGCGAAAAAAACATAAAAAAAATATATTAATATTTTATTAACTAAGCCCACATAACTATAAATTTTTTTTTAATATTCGGTAAGACCCTCGACGTGCTTCGATAACGGCCTGAAGACGCCTTGGCATGGATTCCACCTGATTTCGCAGCTCTCCATGCGTATTTCCTGCCGAGCTGCTTGAAGCTTCTCTTTAAGGACTGGAGCACTCATCATGTAATATTTTCAGACGGAGTTTGCAGGGCAATGTCTGACTTCCGGGTGCTATCAGAATATGCAAGTGTTTCAGCTTTACCTCTTGACATCCGACAAGATCGCCGCCATGAGGCCCATCGAAGTGTCATCCGATGCAAAAAATACCGACCATGGCCAGAAGAGACTTACTTCCCCTTCTCCGGAAAACTGACAAACGTGGCTTACTCGCACGGTAACTGAATGACATCGTATCGCTCATTTTCATAAAAATTTTGAATTTTTAAGATTGTTTAATTTTATATTTGATTTGGTTAATTGGTCGACATCAGGTCGACGTCTTCGAGGCTTATTTTTTACGTTTCCATTATTTTTCCAATTTTTTATTGTTTGAAAGGATATTCTCTTTTTGCGTTCCGGTTCTGTTATGGTTGTAACTCCCAAATACGATCTGGCTTTTCTGTTGAAACAGTGGAGTTTGCGCCGCAATGTCTGACTTCCGGGTGCTATCAGAATATGCAAGTGTTTCAGCTTTACCTCTTGACATCCGACAAGATCGCCGCCATGAGGCCCATGGAAGTGCCATCCGATGCCAAAAATCCGTAGATCGGCCTAATGGGTCGCATTCGCACGCCCTAACCTGAATGACGAAGACGTATCACATACCGACCCATGGCCAGAAGAAACTTACTTCCCCTTCTCCGGAAAACTGACAAACGTGGCTTACTCGCACGGTAACTGAATGACATCGTATCGCTCATTTTCATAAAAATTTTGAATTTTTAAGATTGTTTAATTTTATATTTGATTTGGTTAATTGGTCGACATCAGGTCGACGTCTTCGAGGCTTATTTTTTACGTTTCCATTATTTTTCCAATTTTTTATTGTTTGAAAGGATATTCTCTTTTTGCGTTCCGGTTCTGTTATGGTTGTAACTCCCAAATACGATCTGGCTTTTCTGTTGAAACAGTGGAGTTTGCGCCGCAATGTCTGACTTCCGGGTGCTTTCAGAATATACAAGTAGTTCAGATTTACTCCGTTGGTGACATCCGACAAAACCGACATCCGCCATGACGCCCAGGAAGCTTTAAAATTTGGTACAAGTTTTCGCCCAAGGCGAACTTTAAAATTTAACACAAGTCTTCCGTATGGGGAGAAATCTTGATGCCATTTAGAAATTATTATTTTATTACAAAATTTTTTTATAAAACAAATTTTATTAAAATAAATTATTAATTATTATAATTTATAATTACAAATTATTTTACAAATTATAAACTTACAATTTATATTTTACAAAGTTACTAATTATTTATTTATTTTATTTTTTTTTTTAAAACACGTCAAAGCGTGCCTCAACACTTTCTCCGGCGAGTTCCCCGGATCCACGTTAGATATACTATCTGTAAATAAAATAAAAATAAATTAGATATTGAAATTAGATTTTAATTTGTAATTAAAATACATACCGATCAAAACTCCATAAAAATTTGGGAACGCCTTCAATTTCTTCTTCCCACTAACACCGTCAATGTTGTATTGGACGATCAGGTCCTCAACGATAACGTATTTCAATGATTTTCTTAATGGTCCGCGCTTTAATAAATTGGTCACTGCGGTGGTCTGCAAAAATTAATAGGTATTAAACAATTTTTTATATTTAATTTATAAATATTATACTTACACATTCTTCCTTCATGCCACGGCCTAAGCGAAATCTAAGGCTGCCAATGCCTCATCTGTGGGAATTCCATATTGACAGCATTGCTGGTGGCCTTTTCCTTAAGAGAAACCTCCAGCAATGCTGTCAACTTTGCCAGTTGGTTGGTACATGCGGCGATTTCCCTCGCCTGCTCACCAATTTTCCTCGTCTGCTCATCAATTTTCCTCTCCAGGCGATCAATTTTTTACTCCCCCAAATCGGCCACCGTGACTACCTCGACTTCGTCCATTTGCGTCTCCGCAGTTAGGTCATCGTCTGAGAAAAGAAATTAATAAAAAATTAGATTTTATTTAGTTTACTTACCATCGACATTAAACGCCATCTTTAAAATTTTCTTACTAGGCTCCATATTTGATCTAGAAAATAAAAAGAAAATAAATAACATAATATGTACAAGCGGCTAATGTCATTTAATAAATATATGTACATATTTACATATCTTGAACGGCCGCTCGGTATTTAATAAATAAGTTCATTATATGCACTACTCACCAGAATTAGTTATTTGGTCACTTAAATGTGTTTTAAAAAATTTCACTTCAAACGCAACAAACAAACGCGTGTAATTTATATGCAACTTGAACATTAAATGCAAAGAGAAAGGGAGAGGCAAGACGAAAACAAAAATTGACAACAGAAAATTCTGGCGCGTGCCAGGGTATAGTCGACCAAAGCAATGCCTTGTAATTAGAATCGCACAAGGCAAATAATCAAACATGAACATTTTGGCTTTGCCTAAAGCCAATTATTAATACATTTCAATATACCATATGATTAGGTAAGAAAAATTAATTAAATATAATCTTAAATATATATAAATATTTCAACATATTTTAAAAAGGGTATTCTGACGACGCTTCCATTCATTTGGCTTTCGACACCGATTTCTCTCCCTTCCCTCCATCTACATCTCTCTAATTGTCTCTCTGTCGCGTGCCGCTGCTCCGAAAATATGACGCAGAAGCTTCGAGAATCATCGTCGAAACCAGAAAGAAGGTAGAAGTTTCGTTTCCCCTTTCGTTTTGAACTTCAGTAAACGAAGCCCATGCAATTTGTTTTTGTTTTTCGAACATGTCGCCAGGAAAAGTCGGGGAAGGAATTTTGGTACTGAAGGGCTAATAACCCTGGGTAGCTCGGTGCCGCCGGAGCCGCTGGCATCGGCTATCAAATGTGTTGTGTGCGTCGCGAGGAGTGGTTTTTGACGGACACACACATAAAGCAAAGGGTATTCTTATAATCCCTAAATTCAAAACATTGGATTTAATTTTTTATATCATAAAATATAAGTTAAGTTTATACAATATATAAAAATATATTTAAATAATTATTTAGGAAACTTGCCTTTTTAGTTAGAGATTCAACAGTTTAGGGAATCCCCTAATTGTGCAGGAAAACAAGTAATTCATAAAATATAAAAAATATTAAATATATCGATATTTCCCAGTGATTTTTTGATAAAACAAAATATCGATACATTTTTTTTAATTATTTGACAACCCTAGAGTGTGCTCTGTACGCTACGAACAGCTGTTGAATGTGGTTTTTTTTTTTTGTTAGCTTGGAAGATGCTGGGACATCATTTGGGTAAAGACCTCTGCGGTGTTCGGTACATGCTTAGGAATTGCGGACAAGTAAAATAATAAAAATGGATGCAAAAAAAACAATAAACTGATCCATTAAAAAACAATAAATTTGATTTACAAAAATTGATAAAATAAGGAAATAATTTTTAGAATTATGCAATTAAAGAAGGAAGGCCGAATAATTTATTTTTAAAGATTAATAAAATAAATTGTTTTAAATTCAAAGACGACAAACTAAGATACTGCTCGACAATTAAAAGAAAAATAAATAAAATTAATTTAAATTAATGGAGGAAATAAGAGCCCGAAGTTTGTAGAACCCACTAATTCTTTCAACATAAAAATAAAAAATATAATAAAAAAAAACCGATAAGCCCTCAATTGTGGATTTAGTGCGTCTATTACCACCGCAAGAACAAAACGCCTATTGGGAAAGAGTAAAAAATAAAGATAATTAAGAGTGAGAGCTGTCTAGATCGAAGACAAAGGCAGCAATAAAGGGCAAAAATCCCTCTAGATTTCCCAACTAGGGGGATTCAACCGTGGATTTAGTGCGTCTATAACCACCGCAAGACAAAAACAACCGTTTTGAGGCAAGGGTAACATAAAAAAAAATGTTACGAGATAAAAAGCCGAGACCCCATTATACGGTTTGTGGTGGAGGCTAGTAGAGGCCAACTATTCGTGAAATTCGAATTTATAGATTAAAATATAAAAGCCAATAAATACAATATAGGCCAACCAATACAATTGTTTTAAATAGAACTGTTCATTTTTAAAAGAAATGAAAATTTAAAATTCTGTTTGTGGTGGAGATTAGTAGAGACCAACTGTTCGTCACTTTAAATAAATGATGTATCAACATTTGATAAACAAACTTGGTGAAGTAAAGGAAGAAAAATAAACCCGAAGAAGGTAGAACCCACTAATTATCATAACAAAGGGGTTTCAACAGTGGATATAGTGCGTCTATAACCACCGCAAGCCCAAAACCACCACACCAAACCACAAAACCAAAAAAGTAAGAGAGCTACATCGAAAACGAAGGTCTACTTAAGGGATCTTCCAACATAAAAAAAATATATATAATAAAACAAAAATAAGCCCTCAGTGGTGGATTTAGTGCGTCTATAACCACCGCAAGTCCCAACCATCTTTTGGAGGAAAAGTAAAAAAAAAAATAAAGGTTATTAAGAGTGGGAGCTGCCTAGATCGAAGACGAAGGCAGAAATAATAAGGGACTGTAGGCAATTTTTAAGAAACGTCCTTAAGGCCTATGGATAAAGCCATAAAAACTGATTAAAACATAAGTTTGTGGTGGAGGCTAGTAGAGACCAACTATTCGTCATTTTAAATAAATTATTAAAATTTTATAAAAAACTTGAAGAAGTAAAGGTTCCTCCTCAAAGAGATCGAAGAAGGTGAAAGTTAATCCCACTTGTTTTGCCAACTAGGGGGATTCAACCGTGGACTTAGTGCGTCTATAACCACCGCAAGTCGAAAACCACCGTTTGGTTTTTGAGACACAAAGCCGAGACCCCATTATAGGGTTTGTGGTGGAGGCTAGTAGAGGCCAACTATTCGTGAAATTCGTATTTATTTATTAAAATATAAAAGCAGAAATGTCCTCAATTAAGGATTTAGTGCGTTTGTAACCACCAAAACAATTTTGGTAAAAAAATGGTAGTTTTTAAAAGGAATGAAAATTTAAAATCCTGTTTGTGGTGGAGGCTAGTAGAGACCAACTGTTCGTCACTTTAAATAAAATATGTATTTGATAAAATTATGTGTTTGATAAACAAACTTGGTGAAGTAAAGGAAGATAAAGAGCCCGATGAAGGTAGAACCCACTAATTATCATAATAAAGGGGTTTCAACAGTGGATTTAGTGCGTCTATAACCACCGCAAGACCAAACCACCTTTTCGGGGAAAATAAAAAAAAATTAATTAATTAAGAGTGGGAGCTGCCTAGATCAAAGACGAAGGCAGTAATCAGGGGCTTTAGGCAATGTTTAAGTAACGTCTTTAAGGCCTATGAATAAAGGCAAAAAAAAATTTTAACAACGAAAGTTTGTTGTGGAGGCTAGTAGAGACCAACTATCCGTCTTGTTAAAATTTTTTAAAATTTTATAAAAAACTTGGCGAAGTAAAGAACTTCCTTCTAAAGATCTAATCCCTCTATTTTTGCCAACATGGGGGATTCAACCGTGGATTTAGTGCGTCTATAACCACCGCAAGACGTAAACCACCATTTGGGGGCAAGTTAAAATGAAAAAAAAAAAAATAAAGCAAATAATTGATAATAAAGAATGAGAGCTAGATCGAAGACGAAGATATATTTGAGGGATTCTTCCAAATATTTCTTCCAACGTAAAAATATAATACAAAAAACAGATAAGCCCTCAATGGTGGATTTAGTGCGTCTATAACCACCGCAATTCGAAAACCACCGTTTGGTTTTCGAGAAAAAAAGCCGAAACCCCATAATAGGGTTTGTGGTGGAGGCTAGTAGAGGCCAACTATTCGTGAAATTCGTATTTATTTATTAAAATATAAAAGCAGAAATGTCATCAATTAAAGATTTAGTGCGTTTATAACCACCAAAACAATTTTGGTAAAAAAATTCAAATTTTTTAAAAGAAATGAAAATTTAAAATCCTGTTTGTGGTGGAGGGTAGTAGAGACCAACTGTTCGTCACTTTAAATAAATTCTTAACAATTAATAAAGAAACTTGGTTAAGTAAAGAAAGTAAATGGGGCCGAAGAAGGATTCGACAGTGGATTTTGTGCGTCTATAACCACTAGGGATGTCGAATTTTTTAAAATTATCGTATCGATAATATTTTCTGTTTTAAAAAAATATCAAAATGATATAAATATATATCGCTACAAAAAATCGATATATCGATGTTTTTGATATTTTTTTTAGTTTCCTAAAAAGTTTTTTAGAATATAAAATAATAGAAATAAAACACAGAAATTATTATTGCTGTTTAGTTTTTCTCATCTTTAGTTTTTAAATCCATAAACATAACATTTGAAAATCATAAAGAAAAATATAACATAAAGAAAAATATAACATAAAGAAAAATAATATTCTATTTCATTATAGTCTTTGCCTGAGATTCGAGTTCTATTCATAAAAATAACATAAAATTTATCTTAAATTAAATTCAAAGTTCTTATATAATAAAAAAATAAGGAGATTGTATTCCATTATACAGTCTTGGTCTTGTATAAAGTTAGTGCCAATATTTGGCATTAATAGACTTTAAAAATACCCGTTGCGTTATGTGATTATCAGTCATTCGACTCCTTGAATCACAAACGACGCATTTTATAGCCGAAGCCAGTCTCTCCGAAGGCACTGAACTCCCAGGTGTAATTAGGTATTTCCGGGCGAGTTGATATAATCCTGGCATAGCCACCTTGTGTGCATTCCAAAATGTTAGGGGATTACTTTCCCATGATGTTTGGGGCAAACTGAGATATAATTTTAGCTCGCTGTGATCAGAGTTTTGCAAGGAAAGGCCCTTTAAAATTGACCTATTGTGGGCCTCCATAAAATCGACACACTGTTCCTCTGCATTGTCATCAGAAATCTGTAATAATTTAAAGGAAATTAATATATACTTTATTTTTGCTTCGGAATAATAAATAATTAATTAATGAATTAATTACGTTGAGTTATTATTATTATTAATGTAAATGTAAGTATTACTATTAAATTATATACATGATTACGAACTCTAAAATTTGACATACCGGGGTTTCCTTTGAAAAGGTAGAAATTTCGTTCAACAAATCATTTGTTGCCTCCTGTACCCCGATGGGTGATATGTACATTTTTTTAAATCTTGGATCAAGAAAAGATGATTTCACCAATATTTTATTTGATTCAAGTGGTTTTAACCGTTTTTCCATCAATTTGCGAAGCGACTCTTTTGTGATAATGCCCTCGTCCGAATCAACTTTTATAATTTGTATGTTTTTTAATAATAATGCAATTAACGGAATCACCATACTAACAGTAACATAGTTTTCACCGCTTATTTTCTCGGTTGCATCTTTAAATGGGCTCAAAAGCTTACAAAAATCGCGACAAATATCTAATTCTTTAGCAGTCAGCAGTTCTGGTATCGCCTTAGAGTATTCTGCTTTCCTTATAAGAATAATAGATACTTTGTTTACAAGCCCTAAAAAGGACATCAACATGTCCAAGCACGAGTTCCATCGCGTGTCAATGTTTTGGACCAAGGTCTTAATACAACCTTCTGGAACTCCCTCATCGGACTGAGCTCTTCGCAGTTGGTCCATTAATGCAGGGCTATGCTTAAAATGCATAACAATTTTTTTAACTTTGTCCAAAATATTAGAAAATGACGAAATCTCCTTTACGGTATCATCTACTAGCAAGTGGATGGTATGGGCCAAGCATGGAACGTGCTTGCCAATCCCAAGGAAACATTTTGATGCGGCTTTCATATTATTGGCATTGTCTGTGGTTAGTGTTGAACACTTAGACCGACTTATATTAAATTCATCGCAAGCGCTCTCCAACAATGAACATATATACTCGCTGGTATGAGACTAAATATAATGCGAGAATTTTTAATTTTGGTCTGCAGCAATAACAAATAAGTCACAAATAACTAAAACGGACAATACATAAGACAAACACGATTTACAATTACTATAACACACTTTCAAACACATATTTATTAAATAATATTTATATTTGAATATTAACTAACCTGATCCATTCTAACGGAGTTTAGGCAAATCGCCTCGAGACATCCCTCGTTTATAAAATGCGCCGTTATGGTAAGAAATGACCGAGTTGAGTTAGTAATGGTCACAGCATCGCAGGTGAATGCGAAGTGATCCACTTGGTCAAAAACGGTTTTGATTCGTGTCACCAATTGGGTGTATTTGTTTTCCAACAATGTTGTTACCTGGAAAACAATATATATATTTAAAACAATATATATATCAACACGTACTGACGTGTTGAAAAAAAAATTCTAAAAAATAATTCTTACCTTGGACCGGCCAGGAATTTTAAAATGCGGAACACACTTTTTAAGAAGGTATGTTAGGCCTTCCTTTTCGACGCATCTGACAGGCATGTTGTCCTTGCAAATCATAAAAACAAGGGCCTCTGAAATCTCATTAGCCCTATGTCCATCGCCTAAAATGAAGAAAAGGTTAATAAAAACGGATTACACATTTTTTCATACATGAAAATATCATTTAATTTTTTTTTTCATTTTTTTTACCTTTTAAAGTCTCCAAGCTTCGGAATGACTCCGATATTTTTGGGTATTCTCCAATTTTGTTTGTATACACCTGCATAAATATTTCAGAATTAAAATTTGATATGATGGTAAAATAATCAAAATGGAATTTAAATTTTTGTGTTTGCAGCGTATTGTACATTGCTCGCTCTTCTACAGTGTAAACAACTGTAAACGGCCGTGCTTACGGCAGATCTTCGTATTCACATATGTAAATGTATTTGTGTGGGCACCGCTAATATATATATTTATGTGTACAACATGACGCCGAAATTTGGCGCCATTTTACCGCGAAGGTGTAGATTTTATTTCGTGTGTGTGAAATTTTGCGACATTTTACTGCGAAATCTACATTTTTTTCACACACGAAATAAAATCTACACTTTCGCGGTAAAATGGCGCCAAATTTCGGCGTCATGTTGTACACATAAATATATATATTAGCGGTGCCCACACAAATACATTTACATATGTGCACAATTATACTGCGAATTTCTTTTCACACACACAAAAACACTGAAAAGAAAACGCTATTTTATATATAAATTTATTAATATGTACAAACCTTTTTTTGCTGACACTTTAAAAAAAATTCGTTATGTTTATTTTTAACATGTGACGTCAAATTTGTGGTGTTTCCACTTGTTTTTACCATTTTATTGCACAAATTACACTTTGCTGTTCCGTTTTTTATTTCACTATAATTCTTTTTTATTAGCTTTATGTCCATTTTTCTCACACCGCCGATCTTCACTTTTTTCAATTTGATCAAAGAGTGACCAACGCAGAAATATCAGATAATATCAAAAAAAACTATCGCACACTCGATATTTGGGGGAAAAAAATATTACGATATAAATATATTATTTTTCCCAAAAAATATCGATATATTGATATTTCGATATATTATCAACAACCCTAATAACCACCGCAAGACGATTTTTGGATAAAATCAACTATACCCAGTTACTAAAATATAAAAAAAAATTTAAATATGAAATGAGGACACAGCCAGAAATATTATAAATCTTTAAAACTAAAGCCAAGCAAGTCAGCCTCATCCCGATGTATACTTTACATTTGACATGTACCGATTTATTTACAGAACCTTATTTACAGTGCGACGATTTCCTCCTATCGAATGTCTAAATACATCGATAGCTTCAAATGCCAAAACCGATAAGATGAATACTGCCATCGCTAGTGGCTGCGTCTCCACCACTAACTCATAGTGTGCGTTGGTTTATTTATTTTTTTTCCTGTGATTTGTTTATTGAGTGTGTATCAACCGATTTTGCTGCCCTGTGAAAGATTACAATGTATAGTTGGCGCCTTGGCGGCTCCTCCACCGAATAATAAACAATTCGCTGGCGCGTCCAATAGGAAAACTCTGTCCCTTTTCTTCGTGCGCCGAGAGCGCTTGGGATTGTAATTGGAATTGTATGGACTGGACGCAGAGTCTGTCCGAGTGTGTGTGTGTGCGTGTTCAGGGGGCTGGGAGGTGTCAAGTGGGCCAGTATTTCCCCTCCAACCCGCCCTCTCACCGTTCAATTTCACGTTCGAGTGTCGCCCATCCGCCCGCCGGAGTAAATCCAGTGTAAAAATTGCAAAATCGTAAATGAAAATTCGGGAAAAGCGGAGTGTGAGAGCGAGAGGCGCAGCCAGGCAGCCAGGCAGGCAGGCAGACGGACAGAGAGAGCGAGCGAGAGGGAGCGAGTGGGTTTTCTTTTGTTGATGTTCCCGCTGTCACGTCTGTGTGTGTGTATAAGCGATTCGGGTTTTGTGACGAAATGAATGTAAAATGTTTATGTTTATGTTTATGCAGGCGCCGCAGCCGTCAGAGCCACACAAATCACATTCCCATTCCCACTGAAGCCACTGATCGACAATAACAACAAATCAGCCACAAAGTAGCGTGGAAAAACAAAAGTAATAAGTAATAGGCAGTGAGAGGACAGTGAGGACCAGAAACAAGAAATCAAAACAGAGACTCCGACTGCGACTGCGGAGAAGATCCGGATTCGTGTCCGGATCGTCGGCCAGCCGCCAGATGGCCTTCCGGCGGTGCAACGCGCCCGCCGCAGGCCCTGCCACCACCAGCGCACTCCCCATCTGCCGCGGTTGCAGTTGTCAAGGTTGCAGCAGCGGCAGCAGCAGCAGCAGCAGCGGAAGCAGCCCAGCAGTGAGTGCGAGCGAGTGCCACTGAGCGTGCAAGCGAGAGGTAAGTTCGTTGGCGGTGTAACGGTTCACAATCTGTGACATAGAAAGAGAGAGCGCGAGAAGGAGAGAGCGCGAGGGATTCCCCAAAATCAAGAAAATGAGAAGAATCTAGAAAGTTCCATCTTCCTGGAACTCTACGTTGGAATTTCAAGAAGAAACCTGATTGGAAGACTTTTGTGAAGAATTTCTCATTAAAGATATTTAAGAATTATACTAAAAAGTGTATTATTTGAATGGTTAATTTTGTGAGAGCTGACTGCTCTTGGATTCCGGTATCCTTTATCTTTAAAGGACACCATTCCTGCGTCCTGCATCCTGTATCCTGCAGTTGGCGCTGCCATTGTTTGTCACGTGCCTCCACTTGAACTAAATTAGAAAAAACGAAAAGGAAATGCCCAGATGTTGGGGGCCATACCCTAGGTATGGCTATATAGAGCATTTTAGGAAAAAACTAGAGAATAGGGTTATATTACTATTGATATTTACTATATTACTATTAGTAATATGTATGGTACAATTTATAGTAAAAATATGTCATAGTAATGAAAATAGAATAGTATAAAATGTGAATTAAAATATAAATGAAGATAAATATAAATATGCTTTGGGAAATCAATAAAAAATATCAATTTACTTATTCCACCGTTTACTTTTTTAAAATTATTTTTAATTATTATTAAACTCGGGAATGAACCCAAAATGGGTCAAGAAAACAAAAAAGGTCAAAATTAGGACAGAAACTTCATTTTATTTATTTTTTTTTAAACAATTTTTGATGCGATTACATTTTTTTTCTGCCATTCTGCACTCCATCTTTAATTCTTTATTTCGCTTCGATGACTTTTAATTAGTTTGGGTACTATATAGCAGCTTTTCCTCCAAGAACTGCAAAAAGTTTCCATTTATTGGCTTTTACATTTTTTACTTCAAGAATTACGTTTTTTTTGGCGATTTTTTCCAATTAAACAAAAAATATTAGATCCAAAAGTTGATGTTTAAAATATCTAATAGGAACAAGTAGGAATATATGGAAAGGGGTAGGAAAAGCGACACATTTCCCCTAAAGAATCCTACATAGGTACTTGGGAAAATGATTTAAATTTTCATCGAAACCTAATGATAATAATTAATAATAATGTAAAAACTAAAAATAAATGTTTACAACTAAAAGCTACAAGATATTATAAAGTAATTTTTAAAGAAATTTGTATCTATAATAAGTATGTATTATAAATTAATAATATTATTGTATTTATTTTAATAGCTTTTGTTAATTTTAGTGTTTCTGAGGCGTTTTTTTTAAAGAGTTTATCAAATATTATAACCAGTCAAATATTTGAACCAAAAACTATAGGGTTTCGGAAGATCCATTACTTCCATTACTTTTCTAAAGGAACTCAAAAATAGATTTTACTTTAAATTTCAATTTTTTACATACGTTATTTACATACATTACATATGTACATAAATTAAAATTAAAATTACTCACATTACATACGATCAGGATAGGAATAGGATGGGAATAGGAATAGGAATAGGAATAGGAATAGGATATTGGATATTGGATATTGGATATTGGATATTGGATATTGGATATAGGATATTGGATATAGGATATAGGATGTAGGAAGGAATAGGAATAGGAAAGAAGGACTAAAGGAGTCTCTCTTAAAAAAATATTCACCGATAGACCCGAATACCCTCTTCCAGGGTGTCAGAAAAAGAAGAGCAGCAGATAAAGGAAAATCGAAAAAATCGAAAGTGAAGTGCTCTGCCAGGGACTCCTTCTCTCTCTTATCTCGTTCGCACTCTCCCCCAGTTGTCTCTCTTTTGTTTCATTCTGCTCCCCACTAATCTCTGTTTCGTGTGCGTACGTGCCTCCGTCCGCGCAGCCCTTTTTCAAAAAAAAAACACAGAAACAAAATGGTCTCGAAGAAACGCTCCAACGCCGGGGAGCGGGTGCAGCGCTCCACGGCGACTGCGGCAGCGGCGGCGGCAGCAGCGGCCGCAGCAGCAGCAGCATCGTCGGGAAAGAAGCGGATTGGGAAGCTGGCGGGGAAAGCCACCGCCACTTCGTCTGCAACCTCATCCCCCGCCGCTTCCGCCCCACTTGCCTCCAACAGCCCTCCGGACGAGGCGGAGGACAAGAAGTCCTCCGGCAGGACAGAGGCGTCCAAGAAGCCCAACAAGGATCCTGCACCAGGATCGGGGTCGGGATCTGGACCAGGATCCGGATCGCACACTGCCACAGAAAGCAATAGCACCAGTGCCGGTAAGCCCGCCAGCAGCTCCTCCGCAGCAGCCTCCTCCAGCAGCCATCCGAAGCTCTCCGCCGAGGAGCGCCTCGAGGACGGCAAGGCGCGGGCCATCAACAAGATGCTCAAGAATCTGGACATCAAGATCCATGGCTTTGACAACCTGCTGACCCACGGCGAGGAGCGGCTCAACGAGGGCGTCCTCAAGTCGTCCATCTCGGAGAACGTGAAGACCAAGTCGCGGGCGGCCGCCGTCAAGGTGATCGCCAGCCTGAATCCCGTCAAGATGCCGGCTGTGAAGCGCGTGCGTCCCTCCCCGGAGCCCTCTAAAGAGAAGGCACCGGCGCCGGCGCCTCTGCCGGAAAAGGAGAAGGAAAGGCCTACTAAGGTGGAGCAGGATCAGGCGGCAGCAGGTGGGGCTCCCGAGGAAACAAAATCGAAAAAGGTCAGCCAGATGGCCAAGAAATCGACGCCCACTCCCGTTTCCCAAGCCACGCTCACGCCCTCGGCTCCTCCTGCCGCGAAGCTCCAAGTGAGCGGCAAGAATCCCGGCAAGAAACACCAGCCAGGGGCAGAGCCGGCCAAGAAGGATTCCTCGAAAGCAGTGCCCAAGGTGGGCAAGCCCAAGAAGCTGCCGGCTGGACATGATTCGGGCGGAAAAGCTCGACTGCCGGACTCGAATACGGAGCCCGTGCTAATGGAGCTGGAGGAGATTGTGATCACCCCCACACCGACGCCGACACCGACACCGACACCCACGGCCACTCCCACTCCAACACCCACGCCGACGCCGACGGCCACGCCCACGCCGCGAGCCACTCCCACGCCCACAGGTGGCGAGTCAGGGGCGCCGCCTGCCCAGCCCCAGCCACCACCGCCACCTGGCGGGGCCACCAAGCAGCGGCCCAAGGTGAAGTATACCAAGACCTCGGCAGGATCGAAGGGCCGGATGGCCGCCGGCGGGATGGCGGGACACCATCCGAAGTTCTCGCCCTCGGCCGCCTGCAAGGACATCTACGACTTCAAGTCCGGCTCCGAGGACGAGGAGCCCATCAAGATGGTGCTGCCGGCGCTGAAGGAGCTGCGCGAGTTCTCCGACGAGGACAACAAGCCCCTGAAGCAGCTGGAGCGCCAGGAGAAGGCCAAGTCCCAGGCCTCGGCGCAGGACAAGAAGGAGGAGCCCGAGAGCCCCAAGGTCAAGGAGGAGAAGAAGCCGGAGGACAAGGAGGAGAAGCCCAAGATCAGGGACAAGGACAAGGACAGGGAAAAGGACAAGGAGAAGGAAAAGGAGAAGGAGCTGGAAACTCCGAAAAGCGAAGCCAACAACGAACCAGCAGCCAAGGCCAGCACCTCCAATCCCTCCTCCGCGAGTGGAGCCACTCCTGCCAGCAAGAAGCAGGGAAAGCGCAAGATGGCCACGCCCACGCCCAGTCCCGTGACGCCGGGACGCAAGAAGAAGCAGGGGGCAGGGTCAGGAGGCGCCAAAGGCAAGGCGGCCGCAGCAGCCGCGGCAGCCGCCAAGGAGGAGGAGTCCTCGCAGGACACCAGCTCCTCGGAGGACGAGCGCAAGCTGAGCGCCTACAGCGGGCCCAAGCGCCACAGGATGGCCTCGCTGAACGCCCTGGCGAAGGTGCAGTGCCTCTACGAGAACGAGTCCCGGACCGCCCACGAGCTGGGCCTGTCCAAGGCCACCCAGCAGCCGCCCAGGATCCGCACTGTGGACGGCAGTGATGACGACAACCACAAGGACTCGCCGCACCACGACCGGGACAAGGGCTCTATTAGTCCGCCGCCCGTGTCCGGCTCCAAGGACGCCGCCGGCAAGGAAGCGCTCCCAGCGCCGCCACCCTCGCCGCCGCCGGCAGAGCCACGACGGGAGCTGCGCTACGTTCCCGGAGGCCGGGGAGTGGGCAAGCACTGGGAGTTCGACAGTGACAGCGAGGTGGAGGAGATGCAGCTGGTCCAGCCCCTGCCGCCGGCCAAGAAGAAGAAGTGGGCCAAGAAGGCGCCGGCCAAGGCCGAGCCCTCCACCAAGGGCAGGAAGAAGAAGGTCCTGCCGGCCGAGGAGAGCGACGACGAGGAGCCGCCGGAGAAAGAAAAGGCCAAGGACAAGGAGAAGGAGAAGGAGGACAAGAAGGACAAGCCCAAGCCGCCTAAGCAGCTGCCCAAGAAGCGCAAGAACGCCTTCACCGAGGAGCTGATCGGCGACTACAAGGGGATCCTGGCCAGGAAGCGCATGGCCAGCCTGAACGCCAGCGCCATTGTGGCGGCCACCTACGAGGTGGAGCGCCACCTGGACAAGAACCTGGCCAGCGACTGCTCCAGCTTCGAGAGCTACGACGAACTGGACACCATGCCGCCCGCCTCCTCCAGCAAGGCCTACAACTCGACGGCGTCCTCCGCGAAGGGCCAGGACGTCATCCAGATCAAGAAGGAACCAAAGGAGCCGAAGGAGTCGAAAGAATCTCAGCGGGAGCGCGAGAGAGAGCGCGAGCGGGAACGGGAGCGGGAGCGGGAGAGAGAACGCGAGCGAGACAACGACGCAAGGGACTCCAAGGACCTGGTCGCCGGGAAGATGTCCAGCCAGACGCACACCATCGTCGAGGAGAGCAACGACTCGAAGTACTCCAAGGAGACGAAGGAGACCAACACGGACACCACCATCACCACCACGGGGTACAGGGACTCGGCAGCCAGCACCAAGGACGCCAAGGACTGCAGTCGCCCCACGTCCTCGTCGGTGGTCATCGTCCAGGACACGGACGTCACCATCACGGGCGTCTACGTGAACGCCAGCAACGGCGCCGCCCAGGAGGCCTACTGCAAGATGCAGTACCGCGTCCAGTCGAGCGTCACCGAGGAGCGGGTCCTGCGCCCGGGCTCCGTGGAGCCGCCCAAGTCCTACACGCCCCTGAGCGCCCTCTCCAGCATGCTGCCGCCCGGCGCCAGTTCCGGGCTCAGTGAAGGTGAGTACGGACCATTCTGCCGCCCTGTCCCTCAACCCCCTCTCTCTTCCACAGCCCACAGCTCGCCGCCGCTGCCCATCCACGCACCGCCGACGGGACCACATGTCCTGCTGCCCGGGGAGCACCTCAGCGCCGGCATGTACCACGCCCCCGACCTGGGCCTGCACACGGAGCACGCCCTGCCGGAGCACCACGGCCCGCCCCCGCCCTCGTATGCCGCAGCCGCGGCTGCAGCCGCCGCTGCCGCCGCCTACCACGCCCACCAGCTGGCGCCCGGCGGCGGAGGGGTGCTTCACATGCACCACCAGCACCAGTACGCCGCCCACGCGGCCCACGCCCATCACTACCAGCAGGCGGCCGACTACCACGGTCCGCCCCCGCCACACCATTACGGCGGCCCGCCTCCGCCGCCCCCTCCGCAGGGCCACTACGGACCGCCGCCGCCGGGTGCTCCGGTCCCCGTCCCGGTGCCCGTACCCGTGCCGGTGGTCGCGGAGCGGTGTGACGTCGGCTCCCCGCCGCCCTCGTACCGCGCCAGCGCCTATCCGCCGCCCCCCAGTTGTGGGGTGCCCCCGCCCACCTTGGGCGGTGGGTCGAGCGCCTTCTGCGCCCCGAGTCCTCATCATCATCATCAACACCAGCACCATGGCCAGCAGCCAGGACCTCCGCACCATGATCCAAGTGGTAAGTTTCTTAAATTTTATTCCTTTTTTTATTTTTAATAAAAACATTAACTTATTTTGTAAAAAAAATCAAAGCCATCGATTTTAAAACAATTATGAATTTATTTTTATTTTTTGTTTAAAATTTTTAAAATTAATGCATCTGAATCCTGAGTATTTTTAACTTACTAAATGGGAATCCTATCGGTAATTGGTTTCCCATTTTTTGAAGGTCAAACCTGGATACTGGATGGAAGGAGTTCCTCCATTGAATAAGCCCTAGGTTCCTACTATTCCTAATGTTTAGTTAATAGAAGGTTCTAGATATGTAAGAGCAGAGCCTGCAAATAACAGTTAATCCTTTGACCCTTTGGGAGGGTCAAGTTACGGACCCTTTGAACAAATTGTCGGATCCTCGCCTTTTCTTTCTGTTCTTTACTAAAACGATATCCCTTACAGATAAACCAATATTTTCACTCAAGCTTAGGTTACTTGCCAACCGTTACTGAGATTTTAAAAATAAAAGTCCTCCTTTTAAAAAGACTTGATTTTTCTCTGTGATTTGACGTCTTCATAATCTTTGGGATTTTTGTAAAGAAGCTGCGGTCCCCTTCCTGAATGCGATGGCACAGGTTGTGCTAGCTGTACCAGCGACCCAGGCTTCCATCTAGATCATCCACTCTAGAATCTAGAGTCTAGAATCTGGAGTCTAAACGAAATTCTGCACTTAATATAAAATCCTTATCAGTAATTCAGTAATGAATATCATATTTTAAATACGATTTTTGTTTTATATCTTTAAAACAAACCCAATGTTTGGTCGTAGAGATTCTTCAATGACCTTAATCCTCAAAGATGAATTAATTTATTGAAACTTTATAAGAATGTCTATTCTGCATGCAGAGGAAACTGGATGATCAACATCGATAGACCAGTTTGTGGAGCATCCAGGTACTTAATCTTATGTACAGAGAGTGCGGCCCAAATAGACATTGCCAAGCTTAATTTCTCTAAAGAAACCCCCATTGGAGACGAGCGGTCTAGAGAGAGTCGGCTTGCGATTCAAACCTTCTCAAGCCTAATAAATAACCTTACACTGAAACACCGGCTCCTGCCTGACCCGACACCCAACTAACAGGAAAATTTGTAAAAACAAAAAGGTATTTAGTTGTTTTCGAACTTAAATCACTTAACTTGCTGGACGGAAACATTACCTCTCGGCTATCCTCAAGTTTGTTGTTTTTGAGTCAAAACACAAAAGACCTTTTTTTTTACCCAAAACATCGATGTTTTAAAATTCGAAATAAAATTTTTTTTAATTCTTAAAACGCATTCTTTAAGTTGTATTAAAAAAAAAGAAAATACTTACCTTTATAAATACCTTAATAAACTAAACTCAGAAAACTGATAGGTGAGATCATTTATTTATTCACAAAGGTTTTAAAAATTATAGGAAAAATTTTTATTTTTATTCATAAACATTAGTTTATCGAATATGCCCGGGTTAAGGTGCATCGTGCTGCTAAATATAGCCGCAAGATATAGCCTCCTAAATAAAAAAATTCCCTTTTTTATGTATCTTTCCTTTACTTTTTCTGACAAAAAATATCGATGCATCTATGTTTTCATAGATGTTTTATTTGTGCTTTTTTTGGCAGAAATCGAACTCATCTGAGTTTTAATTAGTTACTAGTTACTAATTACTACAAGTATCCATGTAATGAGTTGTCAAGAATCCCAATCCTACAGTAAAAATTGGGGTTTTCGAAAAAAAGGGCTCAAACTTAAGGTTCAAAAGCGTCCAAACTTTTAAACCAATCCAAGAACCATTTTATAACTATTCAAAATATTTAAAAGTTTCACCAAAATAAACAAAGTCACACAAATCGTACCAAGAAAAAGAGTCAAGTCTTGGAATCAAGTGGAAATCAGAGAGGAAACCAAGAAAGAACTCAGAACTCAAGCAATTCGATGAATTGTCAATTTTTAAGAGAAATCCCTGAGATTTGGCGTTGTAGTGGGCCGCAACGGGAGAAGTTAGATTCCGATGAGGAATTCTGGTTGCCGGAATCGTTATGAAATCATTTCAAAGGCCGTTACAGAGTGTTAACTGCCGGATTCCACTGGGTGCCATGTTCCTCCTGTACTATCAGCACGCTGAGGGTTCTATGCTGTGAGAAGATGGTTCTTTGATGCTTTTAGAGACCGTCTTCCTTCATCTGGTTCTTCTACAATTTTCCGAGAGAGATATAAAGAGACTAGCGGTTAGTAGGGTAATAGGGTTAGTAGGGTCTATTTCAATCCTGGGCTGAAACTTCTATGCATTTTGGCATTACATTCCAATAGACCAAATAGCCAAACAACTAATCCAAGTACTAAGATCTAGTGGTATGAGACCTACAGGGTCAGATACCTCTAAGGAAGTGCTTCCGGCGATGCATCTGCAGGTCCCATCACCTCAGAAACTAATTGCAAAATCGATCGGCAGTGCATATTGTACTTCCCAGATTCCCAAAACTTTTAACTGAGTAAGCCAACTTTTGTGTATTTTTTTTTTTGTTTTTTGGCCCATTGGCGAAGGGCCAAGAAGTAATCTCGCCGCTTTGCCAGGCCCTCTTCGCAGTGCCATTGATTTCGGTTTATCGGCGAACAATAGGCGGCAAATTTAGTTTCAGGACTTGCAGAAGTTAGTGGCCCAAAATTGCATCCCGCCCAGCGGCAGGGCTGTCTTTGGGCCGCAAGATTGTGGCTGGGATTAGTTATTAAAGAGGCGCGGAGATGGCGATGTCTTGCCGGCTTCCCCGGCCTCGTCCACTCTCACCTTCTGCGGTTGGCAACAAGAACAAAAAAAAATAAAAAATCATTGCATACACTTAGGCGCGCGCACAATAAGCCTCTCAGCCTCCGCGTGTATGTGTGTGGGGTGTGCGGTTAGTGTTAGTGTTAGTGTTTGGTGTTTTTGGTTCAGTGGTGTTGGTGTGCTGGCCACAGCCGGAAACTGTAAGCAGGCAAGCAGCAAACGGAAACGAAGACCGAAATGCAAGCAAAAAGTAAACACGCCCGCCTGCCAGGCTGCCAGGCTGAGCCCTCCGCCGACGTTGGCAGAGGCAGCAGCAGAGGCTGAGAGGAGCCAGCCAACCTCCATTGATGTCATTTACCTTTCCATACCCACACACACACATAGACACACTGACTCACACAGAGGCACATACTAGGGCAGACAGGAAAAATGCATATTACAAAAGTTGCGTTTAAGCGCCTAAAAGCGGGCAGCACTTTTTTTTTTACTTATTTTTTTGTATTTTGTATTTGCTGCTTATGTTCTCACATGAGACGATACGAGATGACAGAAGGATAGAATGGGGTTGCACATGCATATATATATATACAATATATGTATATATATACCTTATAGAACATCTATACATTATATATTGCCGGCCTCGGGCTGCCTTTTCGGGCGCAATTCATCGCATATCGATTCAAATTAATTTTATAGAAGCTGCAATAGCTTCTTTACGGCCAGGCACTTTTCGAAATTCAGGCTAAGACTTTAAACTAGTTATATTCGGATATTTTTATTAATACCTAGTAGTAAGTGCTTACTATTTCATTAAACAAAATTGATTTTTAATCTCAGTTGTTGATAAAATAGTGAAGAAATCTTTATTAATTTTATACTCTTGATAAAAGTCCATAAAAGTCCTTTTAATATTTAGTGAAAATATTCGTTGAATATTATTAAGGGCTATCACCTTTTCTTGGGTAGTGTTTATGGGAAAATTAGGATTATTTTAATGATTTAATTTGAATATTATTATTACTAAAATATTTATAAATATACATATTATATAATAATACTGAGAGTTATAGTTAAAATATCTCTATTAGCCTTCTGCAGTTACCTAAAAAAAATTTCTGGTCGATATTCCGGACAAAGTAAGCAAGATAACAAAAAAATTTAAATGCAGAATTTTAATAGGGAATATTAACATGTTTATTAAATGAAAGCGATTTTCTTAATCATAAAAAGAAAATAATTATTTAATAAAAACAAAATATACAGGCTTTTTCCATGCCGCAGCTTATTTCGTGAAGTAGATTCTACTTAATTTATTGTATTTTAATTTTATTGTACCATATTTTAACCGCTAATATTTTGTATTTCCTCCTTTCTGGTTCAGGACAGCTTTGAGACGACTACCCATGGGGGAAACTAACTTTTTAGTGGTTACCACTGGAATTTTTTGCCATTCTTCCATAAGAGCAGTTTTCAGCTCGTTATTATTTGAGAATATTGAAATTAATCGTTCAAATAGTTCTATCTATTACAAATCCCTATAAGTCCTGTATGAAATCTCAAGGGTCCTTTGAATACTAAAAATAAAATGTATTCCTAATAGAGGTCCTCATACAGCCATCCTTTCAATGACTTATTCCACCAAAAGAAAGTGATTCGTTCAGTGATTCAATTCTCGTCGCCTGGATCGCTCAGTGACGACTCATTTATTCCATCTCATTGATTCATATCCAGAGCGGACGACTCCTTCAGCCAGGACTCATTCATTACCCGGCGTAGCTGCGATGTCCTCGCCTTTGTCGGGCGCATCCTTTAAGTAGGCTATCGGCCTAGCCTCGCCCTGCCGCCATTCACGTTCGCATCCTCGCTCTCATTCACATCCCCTTGCCGCCCCCCGCCATCGACGCCCGGCCCGCTAGCGTGAGTGTTTGCACTTTGCGCTGTGCTGACAGTTGATAATTCATTAGCACATGTTCTATTTGACGTTCGTTCATCCGTGCCAACACACACACTGCACTTTAGGGTGGACCTTATCTGTACTTTCTTCTATGACTTTGTTAGTTAGATCAGTAAACCAAAGAACGATTATCCAAACATTTTTAAAATTTTTTAAATATTTAGAAATATTTTATAAGATGTTATCCTTTGAGCGCTGCAAGTCCACCCTAATAGAACTCAAACATTCACACACGAAAGCCAAATTGTCTTTGTATGTATGCCAG